ACATTTTTTACAACTCAGATTGGAAAGGATCGTTGAGAAACAGGAATTAGGGAACATGTGGTTCCAGCTGGCATGGAGCTGCAGGTCACACAGCTGAACATTCAATGAATGTTTTGGAAGAAATTTGTCGCATTTGTGACTTCTTTCTCAAAATGTATAAAGAAAAATGTGTTTTTTGAAAAATAAAAAATCATAGAGAATTTCTAAAAACTCAAGAAGCTGAAATAACAAAAATCGCTTTGTCTGTCTGTAGATACGTTCTCTTCTGAGATATTCTTGTACAATGCTTTTAACTCCTTCATAAAAAAGTGATATCAACTTTACAGCATCAATGAATCGATAATGTAGCGAACACTTTATTTTTAATCTCGAAATCAAAATTAAACCTCCACAAATAAATACAAGACGACACAATAATAGTGTCAACGTCGCCAACGATATGATCAATCCAAACCAAAAAACAGAACAGACATGAAAGCTATCCCACTTATATTGTTAATAAAGCTGCACAAATGGCTTTGAAATGGTCAGAAAAAATGAATCCAAGCCATTTACAAGTTGTTAAGTCGATACCATTCAAGTACCTTGCATTGGAATGTGTAGGGAAAGCTAAGTGGTAAAGTGGATATTCCCAGCGCATTATTTTATAGTCCAGTGCAACTGAATCGTTTTTCGTTATATACGTTATTTACACAGCACCTAGAGGAGCTTGAACTGTGCACCCAGCGGAGCATATTTATATGCTCCGGCAATCAAGCAGCCCTTAAGGAAGCCGCGGGTTTAGTCAAGTATAGTTCATAAATTTCAGTTAATGTATTTATGTAACTAACAGTGGTCTAGCACTCCAGTAGTTTTATGCTGTATATAGTAGTCTTGGAATAGCTTTGGCAGATTGAAGCACTTGTTGTTGTAAGTCAACAGCTATGAACTGCCAAATGTACTTCAAGGCTTCTGTGATACAGCCATGAAGACTAGAGGTGGGAGATTAAACTGCATAAACATACACGAATTTGTATGAAGCCAAACCCGTCTCCAAGGATGGTGTAGCTCTCGGAAATCTAGTGTGCCTAGAACATGGCGTAGAGCGTCTGCGTATATCAAAAAAATACAACCTAACCAGCTGCAATCTTTATCACGGACCGCTCTGACAACCAACGATGACTTGACAACGCATGACTGCGCAGAACCAGAAATTCCTTTTCTGCGCAGTCAACACACGAGAGATCAGAGAGAATTTCTTTGCTGCATACTTCATCATCAACTTTTTTGGCTTCACCCCACTCCTTGAGTTTAACCTTGTATCCCTAGTCTTCATGGATACATCATAAAACCACTGCAGTGGTTGACTGCAAGTTACCTGAATCAATTGACTGTCAAACCTCACTAGTATAAGAATAGTAAGTAGAATGGTTGGAGGTTTTTTTTCAGGAAAATGATCCTACCTCAAACATTCAATTACATATCCTGAAACGGATGTTTTGACAAGGGATAGAATCCATGTAAAAGATTATAAACAATGGCAGGATTTGCAGAAGCATGATGATAGTCAAAATCATAAGAATTCCAGTGTCTGCTTGTTAGGCATATGACCAGGACATTTGCTTATGACTATCATTATGAAGAAGAAATATGTATGTCTATGGTTCTGACTAAAGGCTGATTCATACAAGAAAATGAGTCATAATTGTAATAACAAAATCTTACAACTTGTTATGCTTATGACTATAATTATTATGACATTATCATGATGAATATGGAATATCTCCCAATGCACTTTTCTGATTCCAGAAAATTATGCCTAGTAATTGACACACATATACCTTCCTCTCCTCAATTTTGACTCCAGCAGAAGCTCAAGTCAGTTGCATAGAATTTTCTTCCTTCAAAAGTGCAACATGTAGCACAAAAAAATTTGAGTTGATACATTTATCCCCTGCTTTAATAGCTTAACTTATTTTATTTCCTCAGATTTTGTAAATTTGTATGCTTAGTTCTGGTTCTAAAGCAGTTCTGGCATCATAAGAGCTTACTGTGCAGAATGAGAAACATTTTGACAGGATAGTTCTGGGTAGAACCAGAACAATGACAATACAAATACACACCCTGTATCTCAATAACACAAGGTGGCTTAACAGATACTGGTTGGAATGTACAGTAATGGACAAAAGTATATAGACAAATATGAATAATTACATAAATACCGTTAGAAAACGAATTCATACTTCATTGTTCCATAAACATATGTGTTATTAGTAGAAAAACTAAATTCCTTGTTTTTACATTATCTGCAATGGACACAATACAAGTCTGAATATAAGCACTTTTTTAGGAGGGACAAAAATATGCAGACAAATTCTTTTCAACATTAGTTTAGTACAGCTTCGTGTCAGAAGAGGATTAGTTTGTGTTCATCAAGTATTGTGGAATAAGTTGAGTGATTTTAAGACCATGCCACTTAGTCCAGAAATTTATTTCGATGTGAAAACTAAGATCATTGAGTTATACAAAGCTGGTCAACATTAAGTTGACATTGCCAAAAATTTGAAGCTAAAGCGTAAGCAGTTTGGGCAATACTGAACAAATATAAACAAAAACGTATCTTGGAAGCCTCTAAGAGAAGTGGTCAGCCTAGGAAACTAAATGCTAGATCAGTTAGATCAATAGAAGTAATTGCCTCCAAAGATCTGTTTAAAACCCCAAGACAAAAATCAAATTCAAGCGGATAACCAAATGAAAATGGTATTTACCATTTTGGGTTGGTATTTACCGATCCGTTCAAGCGAGTGTGGATATCAGTTTGGTTATAAGATCCGTGACGTCATGAATCAGCTGTTATATGTCACAGTTATTACCGCAAAATTGTGGTATTTACCCAACTCACGAGTAGTTTTATATTTCTGGTTATTATTTGAAATGTGACAAGTTAGAATTTTGCCAGGTATTTGATATTGTTACTGTACTTCAGTTCATTTTTGGGAAACTTGATACAGGCTGACTTCAGTGTTAGCATAAAGTGGAGCACCTTATTAGTTATACTCATTACTGTTGTTGGGAACACTTTCAATCTAGTTCCTATGTTTAACAAAGTATCCTGTGTAGCCATATACCACAAGAATATTAAAATATGGCCATTTAACTCACTGGATGATGTCCACCTGTATACAGTTTTGCTAATATCTTTTTTCATCATTTCTGCTAAATCATGTTTTCTTTGACATGCGGAAAACTTTTGAGAATTAAAAGTTATCATAGCTACAAAACCATGGTTCCATCATTACAAATTTTTTTCTGAAAAAAAAACATTTCTCCCATGAATATTATGAAAGGTTTCTACTTTAAACTTTCGATACACCGTTGTAGACAAAAAAAGCACCGATTATTAAGTGATAATAAAAATAATCAGAGATTATATATGCGCACTTTCCTAAAATAAACAATTTGCAACAAAACCGGGGCTAACACCAACGCGTTCAAGCGATTCATGTAACTGACGTCATCAACCCCTGTGTCATCTTGAACCATATTATAACCGCGGCACATAACACAGAAATTTTGGTTATTCGCTTGAATTTGATTAAATAAAAGCCGAAATCGAGACAAAAGGAATTGTCAGTGTTTCTACGAAAACTATAAGTAGAAGATTAAATGATTTGAAGTTATTTGCACGACGCCCGAGTAAGAAGCCGCTAATCTCGAGGAAAACCCATAAGGACCGATTACAATTTGCATGGTTGCATCTTGATTGGAGCATCTGTGACTGGAAGAGGGTATGTTTCAGTGATGAATCCAAGTTCAACATGTTTGGATCAGATGGTGTTCATTACGTTAGATGTCCTAGTGGACAAAGATTGAACCCCAAGTACACATTGCCCACTGTCAAACATGGAGGCAGGTCTGTTATGGTTTGGGGGTGCTTTTCGGGGTTTGGGATGGAACCTTTACATAGAATAGATGGCATTATAGATAAGTTTGTATACACAGACATACTAAAGCATGTCATGTTACTCTATGTGGAAGACAATATGCCCTTAAGATCAATCTTCCAGCAAGATAATGACCCGAAGCACACTTCAAATCTCGCAAAGAAATTCTTTCTGGATGAAAAAATACCAGTTCTCAAATGGCCTTCACAGTCTCCCAATATAAACCCCATTGAAAATCTATGGGAATACTTAGATAAGCAAATAAGAGATAAAAATTATTCAAACAAGGATGAACTTTTTGTCACTTTAGAGCAAAAGTGGAGACAGATTGATGAATGTAAAGAGACTTCTACAATCTATGCAGAGACGATGCCAGGCAGTGATTGATAATAATGATTATGCTACAACATATTAACACAAACATGGTTGGTTTTCTATAATTCAATGAACTTTGCTTCTTTTTTCTATAATTGTTTTGCTTTGTCTATATATATTTTTGTCCTTCATAGTTCCAGTTTTTTTCAATTATTTTTTTATTGAAGGGAGTCTAATGAATTTATTTATGTATAAGTGAGTATTATGCTATAACTAATTATGCATACAGGTTGGTGTATTAATAAAACAAGTTAGAAAAGAAATACAGCACAATATTAATTTGTCTATATACTTTTGTCCATTACTGTATGTCTGTTAGATTAAAAAATTAGTAATTTGATCAGTAAGAATTCAAACATCTTTGGCTGTTGTACATGATGAAACAACAGAGTTGCATAAGCATTGCAAGATTTCTTCATTTACCTACTGTGATAAAAAGGTTATTGCAAATTGCAAAACACATCAATCAATTTTCAAGGAAACTCATGTTAAGCTTTATACCTTCGACCTACTTCTACAGTTATTATCTCATAAAATCTTAAACTAGGTATAAGTTGTAAATGTATGACTCAGAAGGAAAACAGGATGAAGTGTTCAATGTATACAATGACCAAAAGAGGATCAATATTATCATGAGTCTATCCATCAATAGTCTATCATAAATTACTTGAACAAGACATAAAAAAAGTCTTTAAAACTCACCACAGCACAGTTTAGGCCAATTCCTGTAATATAAAGGGTCCAACTGGGTACAGTAGACTCATGGTAAGGGTGAATCAAATCAGTGTCATTGCAGAAAAAACCTCTCTGGTAGGGGTTGCCCCAAAGGAAAAGGAACAGTATCGGCCAGCCGACTAAAAATCAAATCGTATCAAACCTTATTTGCAATAATTTCATTAAAATGACTTACCGCAGTTCAATAAAACCACATCAAGTATCACTTTTCTGATCTGAACGACGATGATCTCGTTAGCCATGGTTTATATTTGAAACGTTAGTCACAGGCGGCCGTTTTTAAGTCAGCGATGCTGCTTTATTGTCATTGTCATTCTGCACCTCAAATTCTGTAAAACACCTGACGATCATACACCCCAACGAATTTTATGAATGAGATGAGGCAAGAAGAGATATGACGGGAGACGCAAAGTGAGATGTGCAAATACAAATAATTTATTGGTCAATAACCGACCCCACCACCATCACAATGCGTGGCGTTTGACAGTTGGAGAAAGTGTGTTAATGCTAGTCTACACTGTGGATTTCGGACAACGAGAACGAAGCCGTACATAATTTTGTAATATAGACATAAGATCCTGGCCTGCAACCAAACTCAACGCTGCTTTGCTGTTATCTTACCACCAGTATACCCAGTCCAGTCAGTATAAGCCAGTGAAGTCTTACCTAAATTATCAGCATAGACACGAATTCAGGGTTAGGATGTAGAATGAATGGCATCCTTTCTTGTAACAATTGGGCAAAGCATTAGATCTATAGCTTTCTCGGTAGTATTTCAAGTATTGTTGCCTCGTATTTTAGGTGACTTGAGACACTCGTAATAATAAATTGGGACGTCAGTTATTCCAATTTTTACACGACTCCCTCAGAAAATTTTTCGCGCGTAGTTGTGTATGTTTGTGTGCGAACTAAAAAAATAATTTCAGGAACTATACTAAAATTTAATAAAATCAAAACGGTGGATTCTATTAAAGAATTAAACCTTAAAATTCCTTTTTTTTTCATGTGCCACAGCTTAAATGGATTGATGAATTTCGGCATGTGAGGTATATTTGCCTAGTAAATAAAAAAACTTAATTCAAATTTCTATTTCACGGCTTATAGCTTAAACGGTTTGCTGGACATTGGCATACGTATGAGGTGTCTCTAGATTTGTCATAATATCGCGAGTAACACCACGTAACACTAAAATTTATAAAATGAAAAATGACGGATTTTGAGAAAAAGATTCAAATTTAAGATTTTTATTTCAGGAGCTACAACTTGTTGAACTTTGACATATGAGGTATTTCTAGATAAGACATGACAGTGGGTATATTGAAATTTTATAAAATCAAAAGCCCGGCTTCATTGATTTTGAGATTTGAGGTTTTGACATCATAATTCTTTTCAGTTACTGAAGTCGGGTTTTTTGTTTTTCAAAAATGTAGTAGTTGAACAAATTAATTAGTCATAAAGAAACTAAAACAGTTGAAATATCACATCATGTAGTCCCTCGTCGTCCATGAAAACGGTATGCCTGTTATGAATTCTCATGCCAGAGATTAAGTGGACGAGGTACAGACTGGCCTTAATCATCTGCAGAATGGTAGCTTTACAATGCCTGGAAGCAATACTGGTTGCCTGCACCTAAAAATTTCATCGTTTCCAATAGAATATCAGGGAACACAGAACCGTATAAATCAAATTTAATTACTGGCAGGTTACTGGGTTTGAACGTGGGTTTAGTGTGGGTCTATTATACGATATGTCATACAACCACTAACATTTTATCCCAAGAATCAAAAATATTAACATGTTTGTATTAAGAGTAAAATTGCTGTAATTGTAACCAATAAGATTGAACAATTAAATAATTAGCAAAGCCGGTGTGATCTGTAAATTTCTTCTTTTTTTTTGAAAGCAGCAGCCGCGCAGGCAAAACCTAAATACCAGGGCACTGCGGCTGCTATCGGAGCTTAAAGAAAAATTTAATCCTATTTGAACTGCCTGAGGTTATCGTAACTGGGAAAAGCCTCCTTCTCGATACCCTATATAGGGACAATAATAAAAGGAGCCGCTTCTGCATGTACGAAGTTCGACATGATTAGGATGGAAGGCCGAAGTCAGGTGGGTCTGTCTGACAGGCACATCGTTCAGCGGCATCATGAAATAGACAGTAGAGCTCTGAGGAGCAAAGCCCGCCGTTGGTCTAGTAATAGTAGAAAACTTCAACGCAGACGGCCAATCGGGTCCCGAGACTGACAGAGAAGAGTCATCGATCAGTCGGACAGCTTCCTTTGAACCGCATTGAGCATGGATAACGCAATCGGGGCGGCAGCACCTCAAACATGTGAGAGGCTCGGTCTTATATGGGCCTTATACAGAATGAGGAGGTCATATGGAGAAAAGTACTTCTTAGTCCTAAACAAATAGTCTAGTTTTTTCCCAGCAGCTGCCCCTATTAGCGAGAGTGGTCTGGACTCCGACCAGCTAAAATGATCAACTCTTTGGTAGAACTCGAAGATCCATATAAATCAGATGAGCGCACTAGGGCGGTTCTTGTTAGTCAAGATACTCTACAAAGCAGCTCGGCGCCCAAATAATGGTTTTATTTTGAGCGTACACATTTTTGAATTGTAAATTGCGTCGCATCTGTTTAGGATCTATTCCTGATCAAAATGAAAGGTCAGGATTGCCTGAAATTCTGCAACATTGCATCATTGGTTCGCTTGCCAACACCGCATCCCGTACATTCCAAAGCAAGGTTTCCACCTCCATGGACAAAGATGAGCGATGTTGGTCAGTACCCATCTAGCGCTCATTGGAGAGTGTTCTGCTTCGAAATGGTTTTCACCAACGTACACGCGGGTAGTGGTAATTTGTACTGCGTAATGATATTTGTTGATTCTATCATGTCGCATCAAAGTTGAAATAAATAATCCTAATCAACATGAAAACAAAATATTAAATTAAATGTTCGAACAGACCTCCCTCTTGGGTATGAGAGTAATCTAACCTATTGTAGTAGCCAGTGCGAACATTTTCTGGTATAACATATTGGCGACGCGGCAGATTTCACGACCTTCTGCTTCACCGTTGCTAGGCGAGGTGATGATGACATTCGCTCTTCAGCCGGCTTCTATCCCTTTCTAACATATGTTGATACACACTCCTCGTGCTTCTCTCTCGTGCACATTTAACTCGAGCAGTCAGACAAATTTGGTTTTCCCTGTATGTGTAGCTAACTAATAATGTTTTTAGTAAGCAGGATGAATCGTTATCGAATAAATACATCTCTGAATGTGTAATGGTATCCCTTTGATTGAAGCTACCATTCAAATTTTTACCCACATCAAATATAATGCTATGCTGTAATCAGTTTCATCTTTATTACAAAACATAAATCCTTTTAGTTTTCTACGTTTAGAGCTTTCCCTAATGGTGGATGGATTCAATATAGAATAGATTTTAGTGTAGGCTTAACTGGCTATAAGAATGTTTGGACAGCTACGATGTTATTTGAAAAGGTCAAATTTGCATGGCCTTAAATACATAGCTGATGAAAATACTCACTGGATTATCAGGTCAGTAACTTAGCTAACTATTTTCACTATTCCTTCAAAAACATATTCACGCTCACACACCCTTTATGCTTGAATGCTAGCTGATACAGGATGACTCAAATCTCCTGGAAAGGCAAGATAGTATTTGGGAATATTAATAGGGAAATGAAAAAAATAAAATAGTAGCAGCTTAGGATTTTTCTAGCTACATCGTGATTATCTTTAGTTTGACCTTGACCATGGCCATGAAGGTCAAGATGAACATTTATGACCCAAGTTCCTAGGTAGTTTTCAGATCTTATCGGTTAGGTAATAATAAGCATATTTTCCTAGTAACACGTACACTAAAACCTTAAAATAATCAATATATTGAGTTCCGAAAAATTCTAAAGAAGTCATTACGACTCGTTTATAAACAAGGCATATTTGAAAACCGAAATTGACACATTCATATAGCAATAACGGACCTAGCTTTCGACTGGATGTTAGTTTGCTAGGACACCTTCAAGATCCTAGTGATACTCCGCGAGTGTATTCGAGTGTTCAGAACGTCGCCGTCGTCCTCGATATTTTCTTCGGAGCTGCGTAGGTTTGTTTATACAGGGTGACTTTGAAGTTGAGTCATTAATTTTCAGATAATGATTGTAGAAGGAAGATAAACCAAAATATGTGTGTAAAAATAAAAAAAAAATTAAAAAAAAAATTTACCTTGTTTTATAAAGTATCCTCCCGACAAGTATTTCAGTGCGGACCTGTATTTGATCGCGAGGTCTTGGAGCACCGGCATGCCGTCTTAAGTCACCTGATTCACGAGCCCGTTGTACTACATTAACAAAGGCACGGGGGGTTGGTTGCACTCGATTGGGAAACCGATCCGCATAAACATGTGCCATTTTTTATTTCGTTTGATCCACGCAACAGACACTACTATTCACTGACGCGTTACCGACTGTACACTGAGTGTATACAACACAACTGAATAAAATAATTGTAAAAACATCGTTCCAAATTCTTTCGCTATTTTGTTTCCGATGCGATGAACCGATGGCGGATTATATCCGTTGTCGCCAAACACGAGCACATAATATTATCATTGAGACAGGGCGGTACTCAAACTTCCAAAGGGCTATAACTTTGTTCCTTTAATTTTACCAGAAAAATGGTAAAGGAAAAAAACATTTCTTTTGATCAGATCTACTCACTGTTAAAATAAATGACTCAACTTCGAAGTCACCCTGTATAATGCGAAAGCCGCCTGTGTGGACACAGTAGAAGATCTAGTCAGCCCCAAAATCTTGTAAATTTAGGTGGAGGTTAAAAAACTTGTGTCTTTATATTGAACAGCGACAAGTTCTAGCAGTAATTAGAAACAACACATGTACAGGGCAGTACTTGAAGTGTCGTATCAAATAAATAGTGAGTATGTTGCTTCAATTTCTTTTTTAAGTGTTCGGTGGCGCTTTACCGTTACTTAGCTTTGTTATTACGTAGTTGTTTCTGAAAAAAAGATGTCTCATCTTTCAGGTCATCCCTATATAAATAATATATTGTAGCATTTTTCTGGGTCCTTTAGGGTGTGGATTAAAACACGCCTTTTTTGGTTAGTTAATAAAACACAATGATAAACGCTATCTAACGGTTGGTCCAAGCAAAACAGTTGTCTAGTGGCATGCAAATTTAGGCCCTAGCTCAATAAAGCGGGTTAAGAGCGCCAGTGACTTAGGACGGATTAAGCCACAACTCCCCGAAATGTTAGTCGGAACTTGTTTTGCTTGACCACACACACAAAAGGGGAATCTAACAGATATGACGAAATTTAAGTAACAGTACACACAGAGAGAGAGCCAAATAAACAAGATATCAAATGGATCACAATATATTGATTAAAAAGAACAAAACACACATGTGCTCCACCACTGGAGTGCGAGAAAGGATATTACCAAAAAAAACTGTCGCAAAATAAAATTAGTTGGCGTTTACCATGGTATACGCTTTACATGTATGTTTTACGCCTTAACTACACTTATCTGGGCGGAGGTCTTCTCCCAGTTACGGCTAGGCGCAGCCGGTCCGAAAAATTATGATGGTCACAAGAAAAAAAACCCTAGAGAGAAAGACTGTTTAAAAATCTACTCTACTCTCTGTCTGAGATAAAACTACTCATTAAAAACAATCGCACTTGAAGCGAAACCATGAACATTTTTTTCGTATAAAAAAGTAAAGCAAAGGCAAAAAAAAGATAATGTACTAAACTAATATACCCTTGTCCTAAAATGTTATGGCAGCTCTGAAATCAAAATCATGATCAATGTAATAGAAGGTGCCATGTAGGCATTGCCCCCCATATTTGGATACGTAGAATGTCTAATAAAATCAAGAAGTCTCTAAGAATTTCAATAAGCAATAATAAATGTATAAAGATCTATGAAATTGTTAATTAGAATTATATTTTACCTGTTCACATCAGGGTTTTTTCAAGGGGATGGCTTCCAATTTGCAAAACTGCAACGATGCAACTGACTGGGGGAGAAAAGACGAGGATTTTCTTTTGTTTCTATTGACCAAAAGAAAGCAGATATTGAATGAACGTCATCAGGACACACATTAAGGCCCGCGGTCCGAAGGTATATAAAAAAAGAACTTACGGCTGAGGGTCAAAATCCCATAAAAAAATGGAAGACGTAGCACCCAAAATAACTAAACTTAAGTCACACAACAAAAAGAAAAGGGTGCTAGTCTATGAATGGGAGCTTGGGGCCTAATATCCCAGAATCCGGAGAACGACAAAAAGACCACTGCACCACGACCTCAATGGAAGCTGAAAAGCGAATCATAGAATACGTAACGTTCTAGAGGAAGGAGTCTTGAGTGGCCTTGAAGAAGATATGTTTTATAGGAAGCCAACTAACGGAGAAAAACTGCAGAGCTGATCGTCAACACCATACTGAATCGCTGAGAAAGAAAGATATAAGACGAGTGAAATTACACAATCAATAAACTATTAAATTTGCAAAAAGAAAATCATTGAAAAGGGGTTTGGCCTAGGAATGGGCACTCTCTTATCAATGAGGAGAAATTCAAATTACTGATAAGTGATAAATAGAAAAAAAAGGTTACGTGATTTTGGCACGTGACAATTCCACTAAAAGAAATGCACTAACTTATTTAACTTTACTAGATAGGACATTTATGTACACCACTATTTGTGTCTGACTAGAATATTCGAGGTCACTTCGCGTGGATCCAGAAGGCGAGTCACTGGTATGGTCCTCAACAGATGTCGCCAGCGAAGGAGACTGGCACGGTCTCCAACATGGATCGGCCATGAAGCTCTGGCGAGTAGGACAGTCTCCCAACAGATGGCGCCGAGAGTATTATTCATTATCGTCACAATATTATAAAAATGCAATGAACTGATTCCACGTGCTGACTAGTAACAACCGAAGGGTCATAGCCGGTTTGTCTAACTTTAAAATGTAGGGCTCCAATCTATGGAGAGGCATTGAAAAAAGATATAGACCATTAATACTAAGGTGCAAGCGGAACGCAAGATGTGCACTGTATAAAAAGGGTACAATAGCTAGTAATGATGGATAGGAGGTGCTATACTTGTACAGGGTGCGGCAGAGAGGATGGACGGTTTTAAAAAATCATAAAATAGTTAATTTTACTCGAAAACAAATTTATTGATGGAATCAGGTTCATAAGGAAATAGCATTTGAGACAGTCAACTGTGGAAAATCACATCAGGCATGTGGTGGCCGAAATCGTTGATGCAGTGCTGGAGGCGTTCTTCGAAGTTCGCGTAGACACTCTCCAACATCGCTCTCTTAACTTGGGCGACTTCCACGCGAATTTCGCCCTTCAATTCGTCAAGAGTTCGGGGCTTGTTCACATATACTCTAGCCTTGAGGTGTCCCCATAAGAAAAAATCGCATATGGATAAATCTGGGCACCGAGGAGGCCAATGAACATCGCCAAACCTGGAAATAAGGCGACCAGAGAATAGAGGGCGAATAATGTCCATGGATGCTCGGGCTGTGTGGGCGATCGCCCCATCCTACTGGAACCACAGACGTCGGATTGGAACACGTCGCCGTCGTAATTCAGGGAGAAAGAAGTTGGTGATCATGTCGACGTAGCGCTCTGTGTTCACGGTAACATCACGACCATTACCGTCTTCGAAGAAGTAAGGACCAATGATGCAAGTTTGCGATACAGCGCACCAAACCGTTACTTTTGGTCTGTGCAGCGGTCTTTCGTGTAACTGTTGCGGATTTTCATTAGCCCAATAACGACAATTCTGCTGGTTAACCATGCTGTTTAGGTGAAAGTGGGCTTCGTCAACAAAATGAGGTTCTCATTTTGATCGATCAGTGATTCCATCTCACGTGCGAAGTTCATTCGTTGTGCATAATCTCCGGGCTGTAACTGTTGCACAATGGCCAATTTGTAGGGATGAAAGTGGAGATCCATATGCAAAATTCGCTTACCGAACGATCACTAAGGCAAAGTGCAGCAGCGGATCATGCTCAGGAACCGAAAAGGAAGATACAAGCGACATGCACCGCACACTCATGAGAACGCGGCATCTTTCCGAATGCATGGGCGTGCGATGTGTTTTGCTCTCTTACTGTTCGGTTCTCGAGTATAGGAGACAGGTTCCACGTGAGGGTGTGAACTGCACGTACAGCGTTGACGGAGATGATGGTGCTGTGCAATATAGAGTATGTTTTATTTCAGTTTAAAAATCCTAAACTCTTCTCTGGGTGCAGGGTGCCCTTGCAAATTTTTTGTAATGCACAAAGTTGTAGGTATTATACTTTGCAGAATATCTTGTACACGTGATGCATATTTCGTGGTACATATGATCCCAGACTAATAAGTATGTTCATTTACATAATTGAGTTTTCAATGAACCAACAAATGACTTCTGCTGCTTCTGCCACCAGGTTGTTATGGGTGTTGGTGTTTACCGCACATTTCGTAACGATGCAGGTATGTTTCGTTGCTGCATACAAGGCATACCAAGAAGATGCGATACGCTTTCTCACGGAGACTACATACCTAGATTGGAACACTACGTTTCCAACTGTTACGATATGCCCTATTGGAGGAAGCGAACTTGAATGGGATTAGTAAGTTGTTTGCAAAATTTAAAAAGCGTTCTACAGTATTAGTAGAGTTGAGTAATTCGTACCAGTTGGCATATTTTAGGAAATATCTCTTCTTATCTGAATTGAATCATAATTTGATGTGAAATTATTACTCAAGTACATAGATATGTAAATATTGAGAGATTAGAATGAGAAGCTTTTTAAAAAAGTGTACAATTTGTCGAACCTGTTCGTAGAGTTGTGTCACGCGGTTGTAAACTGTAGGTTGTCATTAGTTCGCACAAGTTAATCCCTCTGAGCTAGCTACAAACATACATAACAGAAAAATAGACTGTTTTGACAGTACGTGCTTTTTGAGATATATGAATATGTAAATCATTATCGATCTGATTTCCAAAAGGATACGCGTTATCACTTACTCAAGAAAAGATGAAAAACATCCCGTTTTTCCTAATTTTCTATGGTAGCAACGATACGATAACAACAACTAGAGCACCACGAAGAAACAAAAAATTATTTGCTTATGTCTCCATGCGTTTGGTTTATGGGCCCTAACTGTTAGTTGTTTCAGTGATGATCTAAACGATGAAGATGATATCTATCTACAGAAAGTATTTATGAGCGATACAGTTTACTATACAGGAAGTTGTTACTCTTGCAATCCAGAGTGTGAGTCTTGCTCAAAGATGAATTTGACTAAATTAGTGGCAAAGGTGAATAGGCTCCCTTCATTTATTGAAATGCATGGGCGCCCATTAAAAGGGGCAAGCGGGCCATATGCCCCCCTGACTTCCTCTTGAGAAGTTAATAATACCTAATAGAATACCCGTTTCTGGATCAACGAGTGGCATCAAAATATCTGCGAAAATTGCCTTGCTAGATCTGAATTGTGGAGATGTGCCTCCCCTTCCGCCCATACGTTCAGGCTAATAAAGAAAAAATGTACATTTTTAAACAATACAAACCAACAATCCGATGCATTAACAGGAAATAATGAAGAATCAAAAGTACGTATTATCTAAAATGTGAAAATCGATCAAGTTGTTTGGGCTGTAGCCCGTGAGATAGAATTGAAGGTTACGCTTAAAATTTGCCGTTTTTGTCTTTTTTATAAAATTGTTACTTGTACTGCCAAAACAAATCCACAGACACCTCGTATATCAAAGTCCATCAAGCCGTTTAAGCTGTAGCCTATGAAGTAGGAATTTCAAAGTTTGATGTTGTTTTATTAAAATCCGCCATTTTGTTTTTAATAAAATTTTAGGAGACCCAGTAGACTCGCACTGTCAAAACAAGTCAAGAGCCGTCAAATAGAAACTCAAGGTTGAATTTCTCACTAAATTGAAGAGCATGACATTTTTTTAATCGCCGGTACACCCCTGCCCCCCACTCCGAGGCGGAAGTCTAGCTGAACATGAATTCTGGGTTCTCCAATGTGCCCTCCTTGAATTGTGCCAAATGGGCGCCCATGTTGAAATGTTTTCCAAGCTTCTATGGATCTTTTTATATTTAATACTTGCAACGTCTACATACCAATAAATTTTTGTTTTCCCTTTTTCAGTACAGGAAGCCATGTGAAAAAATTATAGGAGATTGTAGATGGTACAGCAAGCATTTCGATTGCTGTAAAAAGTTTTTACCTTTGGAAACGGAATACGGAATTTGTTATTCCTTCAATTCTTTACACACAACGTAAGATATGTGAATATTCAAGCTCCATGATACATTCAATTCAGAAGTGACACTTTGAATTTAAATGAAGAGTATTACTATCTTATTTACTAGAAACGTCCTTCAATAAAGCTACGTAGGGAACGTCCCACGGAGCAAAGAGACGACAACGTGGCATGCTTTCGATCTCGGTTTCGTGAGAATTTTCTTGAGTGAGGGTCGATCACGATTCAGTTCATTTCATAAATTCGATCAACTAATTCTTCTGCTCTTTTGAGTCATGATTTTAGTGGTATGTGTTGGAAAGGTTGCGAGACAAGTTGGTAGATAAAACGATAAAAGAAAAAGCTTTGGTGGGTTGATCCGAAAGCGGAAATTTTGGCAGAGCCTGAACTAAATAATAATGAACACCCTGAAGATTTTGAAAACACATTTCAAATTCTGATACCAACATAATGATCTGCCTTGCTCTCATCTGGTATGTCTGAAAATTAAATGTGTTTCATACCGAGCGCGAGCGGTCGTGGTCTTGCCTGTTCTCCAGGGAAAGCTAGTTGTAGAGGGCGCTAGTTAGATTGGAGGTCATGTCTAAGGCTATAAACAGACAAAGAGATCAATTGCTGATCAGCTGCTCATGTCAATAGACGTCAAAATGTGCTGGTTTTGTGAAAAATAGGTCATCTTCCTATCAAATCTGTCTTTGCCCGTCTAATTTTGACAGTTTGTTCAACCACACAAGCGCCGCCTAGCGGAAGCAAAATTGGACATCGATACCACTTCACTCTAGCACGCCACGTTCCGTGGAAATGCAGCGTAGCTTCGAAAGATTCCTCGCTGTATTATAGTATTTGGTATCTGTTGAAGTGTTCCTTATTATTGTCTTTCCAGGCCCTCTCATATTATGAAAATGAATAAATCCACGGGTCCTGGAAAATTATGGATGAAAGCTTTTGAAGATGTCAGGGTAAAAGTCAATCTTAGAATGCGAGGAACAATAACGATGTTGCCTTTGTTTTTTCAGTTATTTTTCCATGCACCTGAAGACGTACCGTTTATAAACACCGCTCCAGATCAACGGGCAGACATAATGCTTGGTGATTCCTTCAACATCTCCATCAAGGTAGCATGCAGAAAATACATTATTCTTCAGTTTTGAAATCCCTACTATCCTTATCCCTTCTACGAGCCCCGTCCAGCTTCAGTTGCCCCACTTGGTAAATTTGCAATTATTGGCATATATTGATGATCATTTAAACTAGTAGAGGCATAATTCTTAATTTTTATTTTGCAAACAGCATCTTAAAATTCTATTACACAAAAATCTAAACTAATTATAACACTTGGAGCTGACTAGAGCGAAAAAAGGGGAAACAACAAAATATGTGATTTTTATCTCTAAGAATTCGTAACTCATTTTACCACTGAGTAACATCACCTTTATGTTTAATTACAGCTTCAATTCGAAGCAAAGTATTTATCAAGTGCTGACACTCATCTGGAGTGAAATTATCCCAAATGTTCTGCAGTTTTTCCTTGAGTTCTTGCACAGTCCTGGCAGGATTGGCTCGCACCCTCTCTTTCATGATGTGCCATATTAAGGTCTCGATGGGTGAAAGGTCCAGACTACTAGAAACCCATTCTAGGAGTGGTACTTCATGGTCTAAAAGCCATTTCATGGTTTTTTTGGAAGTATGGCAGGCAGCACCGTCTTGCTGGAAGATGAAGTCATTTCCAGAGATCCTGCCCTGCTCCAAAGTAGGCAACAAAAATTTCTCTAGGATGTCTTAATATTTATCTCAGTTAACAATGCCATTGATAAAATGTAATTTGCCAACTCCTCCTGCCGACATTGAAGCCCAGACCATTACTGAAGATGGAAATTTAACTTTGCGCTTGAGACAATCAGAATGATAAGTTTCATGTTTTTGGCGAATAACTCCGCTCCGACTATCACCGACGCAAAGTTCGAGTCGTGACTCGTCACTCCAGTGCACACGATTCCACCTCTCTATATACTAATTTCGATGGTTTTTAGCCTGTTTTGCTTCTTCTTTAGGGTCAATAATGGGTTTTCTTTAGCCTGCTCCAAAGGAAACAATGATTATCTCTTGTTGCTTAGGATTGAACTCGTGAAACTTACCTTGTAAGTACCGTAACCTAGTTTTCTTGCTTCTGAATGACACGTAGACCTGCAAACACGTCGTTCAACAGCTTCACTCCAGAGTACACTCAACACTCCCGAGTTAGCACGTCTATTAGATTTGATAATTCTGCCCAAAGCTCGTCTATCAGGGTCCGTTAATTTGGATTTTTTTAGATATCTGGGTTTTTGGGCAGTTGAACCATTTGATTCGTATAATCTTACAATATTTCGAACACTGTATCTAGATAACCCGAGCAATCTTCCAATTTCACCGTTTGATTTTCCCGATTTATGCAAATTAATGATAATTGATCGAATATTTTCATCTATCGCCTTTCCTCTGCCCATTTTTGACAGCAACTACGAGGTACGGCCGCCTGATAAACTAAGGTTGGCTAAAACAAGCGAGCATCGTTGATATTCAAGCATTGTTACCACGTCCGTCTTGACAAATCATCGTTAGCAATATTTGGGTATTGAAGTTTTTTTACAGTTGTCGATTTTTATGACACAACATACGAGTACTCGATTGAATCCCTATATTTCCTAAATTGCTATAAATAGCATATTTTGTCTTATATGATACAATATCTTTTATATCTCCTATATTCTGGTGGGTTTTTTGCCGATAAAAGTCAAAAGAACTACAAATTTTGTGTGTGGGCCAACTGAACCAGGACAGGGCTCGTTTAATATTATGATTGAGAACCTGTGATGCTTGTTACTCAATCACGCGATAAAGGCAGAACGGATCTTGATGAAGTTTGATACAAATATAGATTATAGTCTAGAATAGCACATGATACTTTTTATCACATGAAATAAGTTTGGGATATCTATTTCACATTTCACGGGCTACAGCCCAAACGACGTAATGGAATTTGGCATGAGGTGTCTATCGCGGAAGCTATCAGTCGGTGCACAGTGATTCCTCCATAGGCCAACAGTCCCAAAAGCTCAAGAGTTTATAACGGTCTAAATGAGTCGCCAAGTTATCGAGTAGATGCAAGGCGTTAAAAAGTATGAATAACAATGCAATTAGTTCAAACTGTCATTCACTTTCGTCCATCGCAAGTGACAGCTTCTTGAGTCTAATTACCGGGACGTGTAAGTCATTGAAACTTACTTTTTTTTGTAGATTATAATTTCAAGCCTAGTGTTTTCATGTAGTGATAATATGGAGGTGCAAGAATTTGGTATGTACTCTTATTATTTACCTGTTTTGGAGATTTATATAATTTTTTTATTGAAAGTTGTTTTTGCTATATTCTTTCAACACAAAAATAATTCTTTTCGAGTTATAAACTTTTGGCTGCGCTTTGCTGCAGCTGAGATAAATGTTATCTTAAAGTTGAGAATGTCTAGATTAGAGGCATATAGGCTTCATCTGCATCTTGCTGCCACCTCTTAGATTTCTGAGGTGCCGAACAATCATGTTCGTAGTACAAAAAGGAGGTGTTTTTCAAATCCAATTTTGTTGTTGTTTTAGGTAAATTTTTAAGTATTCTGTTTAGAGGAGGACTATTTTTGATATTTGGCACTCTAAGGAGGGTAGTGGTTTACGATAGCTACCTGTTAAAAAAAGACATATTGTCAAAATTTATGTTGGATTTGTTAATTTAATGGTTTCCATTTTAATGTATTATAAGTATTAGAGTTTATAATTTTTTTCAATATATCTTGTTTGCCCTTATTATGAACTATTTTATTTTGTTTCTTCAATATAAGATTGATCTAAAACAAAAACATTTTTAGTACCTACTTCGTCTTTTTTTTTCTGAAAAATACTTTTATAAAATGTATTTTCATATTTGACAGCTGTATTTAGCAGTGACGAAGCGTCCATGTAACCATTGTTACCATTGGTAACAGTTAAAAATCTTAAAAATAAATATTTATTTGTTTATCAACAGCGATATGTAATAGTAATTCAGTAAATAGCAAATTAGCCCCACGAAAATAATGCGCCCTATACGAGTACCGTCTAGATTTTGCGGACACGATGAAGCTGACAGGCCTCGACTTGGTTGTCGGTTGTTACCATTTTCATTTATGGATACACTTGGTAGTCTGTCGGGGACCGCCGGTATCGGCTCGTGTCTGATCGCGGCCGCCCGAGTGCGTGGGGCGCTGCGACTATTATGTGGGTGTGGGTGATTTGGTTACTCACTTCTCACTCGTCAATAGCCGTTTTGGTTACCGACTGTAGTGTGGGTGCAATTAAAGATGGATGAGTGTCGCTGCGTAATCGATCAACTACTTGAAAAGTCATTCTTCTTGTATAATTTTTAAGAAAAAAAGGAGATCATTGAAAATGGAAGACCAACACCTATTTTAGATAATTTTAAAAAGGAATAAAACAACGTAGTTTGATATTTTAAATTAAGTTGGTATATGGGAACTCTTGGTTATGTGGTTGCAAAAAAACAGATTGTATTGTTGGCGATGTCGTCTGTTTTCTACAGAAAAAATGGGTGGACCAGCAGTGGAGTCAACGATTTAAATAGTTTTAGGGCTCTAAAGAGCAGGCATGAAATTTCTCCGTTACATGTGAGATGTGTAGCCAATTTAATTCAGTTTGGCAAAACAAGAATCGAAAGTTGTCTTAATCAAGCTTTTAGGCAGCACACTTCTAGATACCGTATGTTTTTTGGCAAAACAGGAATTACCGTTCATTTTGAAGGGGATGACTCTGACAATAGAGGAAATTACAGGGAATTATTAACATTCATTGCCAAAAAAGATCAAATATTTCCCGAACATCTAGAAACGTCGACTGTTTTTTCGGACGGCTTGGATTAGTCATAGCATAAGACGATGAGGTATATCAAGTGCCCCAGACGCTCAGTCCAGGAATGTTTACCTTAATTTAAAAATAGTTTAAATAAAATACCTAAAATAAGCAAAAACTTATATTTGGGAGGTTCAAAATAAACTTTTTTTGATAACAGTTTAGGAAAAGTCACGCGTCGCCAATGGTATTTAGAGGTTTAACATACAATGAAAAAGGTAAAATCTAAGTTGTGTATTTATGGTCGCCCAAGTATAGAAGGGAAATCACTGTGCGCTGGTCCTACCGAAAAGACTGAGGGTACCTATATAAATTTGCATCGTGTATTTACTGCTGTCCCGAATTCCCGAAAAGAACGATCACGCACTGTACCAGTATAAACAAAAAATAACAAAAAAATAGTCCAGAAGCTAAGCAAGTTGATATTTGCCGGAAATTTGTTAAAATAATGTGAAAATTTAATTTTATGTAATTAAGATGAGTAACTGGTGTAAAGTACAGCTGTAATTATTAAATATTAATATTGTCAAATTATTCTTATTGCAATGGTGACTTAACCTTTATTTATTTTCTTATTTGATCTAATACATTTCGACATTCGTTTTTGCGCGATCGTCTTGATTTAGATTTGTTTGGTGTTGTGTTTTACTTCAGGTATAATACTGTAAATAAATGATTATTGGGTTACGATGTGTTAAATTATGCCAAACAAGCTGTAAGATGCTTTACGTATTATACGAAGTGACATATAAATCCGAACACCCAGTTTAAATGGTTTTATTTTAATAAAAGTTGGTGAATGTATTTATCTTACTGTAAATAACAAGTGAAAAAATTTTCAGCCTTATCAGTTGGACATTCCGGTTTTTATACTGCTTTTTTTTTAATTCACTAACGCTCTAAAAATGAATATTTCAGCCGCAGTAAAGAATCAACGTTGGCGGATTTTGGTTCTTGAGATCCTTTACGATCAGTTACGACGCCACCTAAGATTATTGGCCTTAAGGGACCGTTTCTCCACTACCAGGTCCATTGCAAATGAATGGTTTGCAGAGCACGGAAGACCTATTGGCATGCGAAGTGTTTACCGACGAATGAGAAGTTTTGGCTTGTTTTCATACCGGCCACACTGGGTCCTCCCTTTAACTCGAGAACACCGACGTAATCGCCTTGAGTGGTGCAGACAACGGTCACTCTGGGATCAGGAATGGAACAGTATTGTCTTTAGTGACGAGTCTCGATTTTGTTTAGGCATGCACGATGGTCGTGCCAGGGTTAGAAGGCGACGTCGTGAAAGGAGGAATCCACAGTTGTTTGTTGAAAGACATGTTCATCACACTGTTGGAGTTATGGTTTTGGGGTGCTATAGCTTATGGTTCCAGGTCACCTTTAATCTTCATCAGAGGTAACATGAACGCGCAGCGTTATATCCACGAAGTTCTAGAACCCCATCTTTTACCCTATCTTGACACCCTGGCAGATCCAACTTTCCAACAAGATAATGCCCGACCACATGTTGCAAGAGTCACAATAGACTTCTTTCAACATAATGATGTCACATTGTTACCATGGCCACCAAGATCTCCCGACTTATACCCAATTGAGCACGTGTGGGATATGATGGGTAGGAGATTGCTCAATTTGCAACGTCCTCCTCAGACTCTAGAAGCACTTCGAGAGGAGTTGGTGGTTGCCTGGAATGAGATACCACAGGAGGACATTGACCACCTGATCAGAAGCATGCCTAGGCGCGTTGGAGAATGCGTAGCACATCAGGGTGCATCCACACATTATTAAAGGTCAAAGGGCTTTAAAGCAGTGCAATCACTTTGAAATTTTTATCATTTCCTTATTATGCTTCATTAAGTACTTATACAAAATTTTATTAAAATAAAACCATTTAAACTGGGTGTTCGGATTTATATGTCACTTAGTATATTTATTGTGATAATGAAAAAATCTCCTTTAGGCTAGTATATATTACGTAGCATCGCTTGGCTTTATAAGTGTCATATTCATTATCAAAGACAAAACTTGAAACTGGACTCCTTGGACTCTTTCTCCTTCCTAGCAATTATGTTTTCTTTTGTGCTGCAGAATTACAGTAGATTAATTTATTTGCTTTAGTCAACGAGCTTATCGCTTTTAGGTCATAGAAATAAGCAATGCGGATGAAATTAAAAACTTAGATGTAGAGAAAAGAGGATGCAAGTTTCCATGGGAGAACGAAGGCTTATTAGTCCACAAGCATTACAGTTATTCTACGTGTGTGGTACAATGTCATGCAGAGAACCACATCAAACTTTGCAACTGTACCCATCATTTGATGCCATATTACAGTAAGATCATGAAGAATTTTTGGTCGCCCGATCCTAAGAATTTTCTATTTCCACAATTCAGACTGTCATATTTCAATAACATCAATTAATAGAGGAGAGTGTCCTAAATCGGACGCTACCCCAAAGCGTGTCTTATAAATTTTACATTATCCAAGTGTAAATAGTAGCTTAGGCATCTACCACGCCGTAGTGGAGCGCTCTCGCGCCTGATAGAGGAAAAATATCATCAAAATATCATTCCTGGATATTTGCAAGTGAACCTTTATACCTATACAGGGTGTCCCATTTTGAAATCGCTACCTGAGTATTTAGAAAATGCACATCGATGAAAAAAACTTCAAACAAAAGTTGTAGGGTTTCTAGGGAGAAAAAGAGGGTTCTATTTAAAAATGCTCACTTGACCCTGAAATGACCTTAAAGGTCGCGGTCTAGGTCATTGTCAACAACACCAGTGGCGTAGCGTGCATTGGCGGGGCCCCGTATAAAAAATTGTTTGGGGGCCCTTATATTCTTTGGGGGTAAAGATTTTTCACAAAAGAAAAAAAATATTGTGAAAAGAAATATTTATTTATCATAACATAATTTAACCATTTTACAAATAAAAATCAAATTTTAAACATTCATTCTCCTTGCCTTTTTTTCGGCAAACTGATTTATTAAATCATTTATGGCTGATGATGATTTTAGTTTTTCTAAAGTTTCTACCTCTATGGACAATAGTGAGAGATCTGACAGCCGTTCTTGTCCCATCGAAGTTCTTAAGTAATTTTTTATCAGTTTTAATTTTGAAAAACTTCTTTCAGCAGTTGCGGTTGTAACTGGAAGGGTCAAGAATAAAAAGCATGCTGTGATTACCTCGGGAAAACTAGATGCAAGACTATTGAATTTTACTAGCAATAATTCAATGAGTTCTTTAATGGAATAAATTTTTTGAATTTCAGATTTTAAACATGTTTTTAGAGCCTTTAATTGGTCACAAAGATTAACTGAGATGTCTTTACTGTATTTAACGGACAGTTTTCCGGAAGCGATTAATATCTCTTCGTTTGAAGAAGATAGGAGTTTCTCCGGTTGTAATATTTCGAACATACTACTCAGATCGCAAAGGCTCTGAAATCTTTCTTTAGTTTGAGAAATTAATATATCTAAACAGCGATAGTATACATTGACTTTGAAATAGGATTCCGGGTCGGAAATTCTCTCATCTTGTGATAACTCATCAAAAAAACGCTTCGTTATCTTTCGCCTACTGTTTTTAAAAACAGTTGTTACCCCCCACTCTTTTGCTAAATCTTTGGACTCATTTAGCAAACTATTAAATGAAATCTGATTTCTTAATTGGCACAGTCTATTTAAAAGATTACTTAATAAAATACTAGATTTCTGTAAGTCATTATTTTCATGCTGTAGAGCTTTAGAAATAGGATTAATAATTTCAAATAGTGAAGAAAAAAATGTAACGAGCACTAAGAAATCATAACTCTCTAAAATATTAATTATATTTTTACATTCTTCACGTTCATCTTTTTTATTTGAAATTAAATTTAGTTGGTACAAAGTTTTCATGATTAGTAAAAAATTTTTCTTTACCGCTAATAAAGCGTCGTTCCTAGAAGACCATCTGGTTGGACATACCTTTTTAAGGGTAATCAAATATTTTTCAGACGGATCGTCACTTAGCATAGCCCAGCGTTTTATACTATTGCCAAAAAAAGTATATACTTTTTCTAAATTATCGAAAAAAGTCGATATTTCACGAACGTGTCTCGCAACATCGTTTAAAACTAAGTTTAAAGCGTGCGCAGCACAATGAACATAATCGGCATTTGGAGCATGCTCTTTTATTAGGGTTTGTAATCCTCCATAAATACCCGACATAACATTTGCTCCATCGTAACCCTGTCCTCTACATTTAGTCAAATCAATTCCATATTCTTTAGTCAAATTTAAAAAGGCAGTTTTCAGACCTGCAGCACTGCAATCGGTTACTGCTACTCGTATAAATCCTAAAAAGGACTCACAGATTTTTATTTCTTTAGGCACATTATCATCATTTTCTGTAACCGAGATATATCGAAAAACTACAGAAAGTTGGTCAATTTTTGACAAGTCTTGTGTTGTATCCAGAATTATTGTCAGAAATGGAGCTTTTTTAATTTCTGAGATAATATTGTTCCTAACGGTGGTACCAAGCAAACTAATAATTTCGTTTTGAATCGTAGGGCTTAAATAATTTATTTCGCCTTTCGGTTTTAGAAGAAGTTCTTTTAAAGTTGCATCATAGTTAGATAGCAAACGTAAAATTGCCATAAAATTTCCAGAATCAGAATCATGCCCTCTCAAAGATAGATTACAAGATGCTAAAGTAATTATAACATTAATTATACGATGCAGTACATCTCTCCAGAATGTAATTTTACTATTGATTTCACTTTGCAATAGAGTATCGATGGTATTTCCTTGCAACCAATTATTATAAGAGAGTGAGGCATTCATATGCTGCTGTGACTTTTCATGGTCAAGTATAGTTTGCGTAAAATTGCTTCTAACCGAAACACCGTTAACCCAAGCAGAGGAGTACGATTTGTTTTGACGATCTGCTAATAACCAACAGAAGTGACAGTACGGTTTGTTTAAAACGTTAGAATAACATAACCATGGTCTTACAAGTTTTATGCCTGCCTGATTGAAATATGAATAATAATAGGCCGAAAAAGGTCGGTTACTTTCTGAATCTTTTGGAAATGGTCCTTGTGGTTTAAATGGACCCAATTTAAAAATTATTTTTCGTTCGCATTCAGATAAATGGTCACCAAAATTTCCTCTATCTGATGAAATTATATTACAATCTTCAAATATATCAGAATCGTTGACTTGGTGTTCTTCAATTTCTGGATGGACATCCGATGAAGTATGTGCTTGGCTTTCTTCTATTTCCGAATGGATATTTGACGAAGAACGTGCTTCAGAAGAATCTAAAAATAAACGAGTATTTGTTAAAAAATAAATACGAATGCTTTGATACTAAACTAAAAAGAGTTATATATAAATAAATAACTTTACTAAGGGTCACAGTTAGAGAGTGTTCAGTTCAGACGCACACAGACTCTACGCGGATTGTGCTCGTATTAGTAGATACAAAATCACCTGCAGCCCGTCCGTGCGTTACATTACACCTGCGTGCTATTTGAACGCAGCGCGTAGTGTAGTGGCCATACAAAACGAGAACAACCCGAAAGCGAGTCTGCACATCTGAAGTTCTCAACACGCAATTTACGATACGATACAGACTGATAGACAAACAACAAAACAAATTGATCTTATAGATAAGTTAGAGTTTTGATTTTTTTTTGTTTCGAGGCACGGAACCCTAAAAACAAAATTCACCCTTCGCTACAGGTAAATAATAAACCAACCACGCGTATCTAACCACGCAGATCCACATTAGCGTCGTGTAAAATAGTACTTGTGTAAATTAGTAAGTACTTCGGTTTTTCGAAGAAGTAATTTTACAAATTGTCATTTATTTTTAAACCTTATCCGTTTTAAGATTTTTGCCAAACCAATTTCATGTAAAAGTTTAATTAGTAAGGAGTCTCCAATATCTTTTTTAGATTTTTGGACCAGTAGTTGTGAAAATCGAAGGGGGGGAGACCACTTTTTGTGACGGACAGATTGACAGGCCGAAATTAAAAGATTTCCTTGTTTATCACTACGGACCCCGAATAAATGGGTTGGGTAGTACTTACCTTTCCAATCTAAATCACTCACAGTATCTTGTCTATGAAAAAATGAAGAAATTTTGGGCACTTTTTTTATAACCTCTTCCCTTTTCCGTTTACTTTTTCTTTTCTCAGCACCGCTGGGATAATCTCTTTTCCTTTCACTCATTTCTTTTACAAATCGCTACTAATATTGTTAAACCACCAGAACAATATTGTTTGTACTGAATTACAATGTAATGCACAATTACATAAAACGCGTAAATAAACACTGCACTGCACTCCGTGGTTTAACATCCAATATAGAGTATGTACGTACACGTTCGCGATATCGATTTTATTATTGAGGGATTCCCCGCTGAGTTGCAGATGAAGTAAGTAAAACGGGGAAGTCCCACAGCCCGCCATAACGATGTACAGTGTTGCCAACTTTTGAACGCACGCTTAAGGCGGTATAAAAAGTAATTGCTTTATAGAATTTTGTCATTTGTAAAATAAAATAAATTAGGAAGTTTTTATTTCTTTTTCCTTACACACTTTGGGGGCCCCCGTGGCCCGGGGGCCCCGTATAATTGATACGGCAGATACGGCGGTAGCTACGCCCCTGAACAACACCATAATTTTGCCATTCTAAAACTCTACAAGTTTTGTTTAAAACATTTTTCTAGGATGCGTAGTTTGAGAAATATTCAGGTGGAGAGATTAACATGTATAGTCAACGCCAAACAAAGTGGCGTCCACGTCATCAAGGTGGGTGTGTTGAAAAATTTACATTGTTGCCAAACTTTTTGTAAAATAATAAAATTTATTATTTACATATCTAGGTTTATAAGCAATATTAACCTCAAATGAGAACAAAAATAATAGTATAATAAAATTATAGATCTGTACTTGCATAATCATTAAGTATGACAATTATTGATCAGATGACACTATGAAACTACCATATTTAATTGATAGCTTAAAAGTACTGAATAAAAATCCAAATGGGGTCCTCCAAATTTTATGCATGGTATTTATTTTACAGAATTCATACAGAAAAATGCATTCTAAAATTAGGTAAGCTACTGGTGTAAGCTTTTTCTGTACAATAAAGTTAGTCGGAGTTTCTTTCTTCAGCGCTGTCTGAATCTGAATCTTCATCACTCTCAAAGTTGATTATTAAAGGTTCGATGTCTGGTCGATCAAAAATTCGTTCTCTTTCATACCATTTAAAAATTTCTTGCTCAGTATGTCCAACACTATTTTTCCACATGTCTGGGGTAACCGTTTGTAGAGCCTCGTTCCACATATCCAAACAGTCTTTTTCACTGTTACCATCTCTACCAATATGTCTGTTATAGTAACCTTTTGCTATGCCCCAAATTAACTCAATAGGGTTAAATATACAATGGTAAGGAGGCAGACGAAGAAGTTTGTGCCCATGTTGTTCCGCCAATTCATCAATCACGTATATTTTAGGTGGTTTGTTTCTAAAAAAGCAGTTATTTTAAGAATAGGAATAAACAAAAGAAATATAAACTGTCGACCAAAATATATATAATTAAGAAGCATTATGTACCGAGCAACAATACTCAATAGCTCTGTTTTAAACATTGTGTTTAAAAATGGTATGTTTTGATTTGTCAACCAGTCTTGGATATTTTTTTTTGTCCATGCATTGTTGGGCACTTTGTTCAATATCATGCTGTGATAAGGGGCGTTATCCAGTATAATCATAGATGGACTCTCCAATTTTTCTAATAACTGATGTTGAAACCATTTCAAAAAATTGTCCTGGTTCATCTCTCCATGGTAATCGCTCAATTTTGTTTTCGAAGAAAATATCGCTTCACTACCCTCAATAAACCCATTTTCATTTCCAGCATGTAATATAATGTATCTAAAATATATTAGTTTTAAATTTTATAGTGCAAATTGTGTAAAAGTACATACCTTTTACCATCTGTTTTAATAGCTTTCACGCTTTTTTGGTTTCCATTTTGCCAAGAGCGACCTATGGTCCCATTTTGAAATATCCAAGTTTCATCGAGGAAGACAAACTGGTATAAGGCCTCAACCTTGGCTTGATTGTATTGCCTTAGAAATTCCACCCTTTTCAAAGCTATACTTGGTAGTTCCATGAGCCCTCGTCGCGGATTGTCCTCAAGCCACTTAAATCCAAGATCTCTAAGCAACCGCCTTAAAGACGTGGCACTACCATCAAATAATGCCCTATCTCTTAATCGAGACCATAAAGTTTGTATCGTAACTTGTTCTTCTGAAACCATGTGTAATATGACATTATAATTTAGTTAACAAATTAATGCAAATTTCTGATAAGTTATTATAATAAGATCTTACTTTTGTGATACATATTATAGATCACTTCTCGAATGGCACTTGTATCCAATGTCGCTGTGTTGGTTACACGTTTAATATAACTCCGCTTTTTCTTGGGCGATTCTAAATTTGCATCACTTTTCAAACCCTCGGACATACGACTAACTGTCCTTAAACTAATTTTTAAAGCAGCAGCAACACGCTACAAAAAATGAAATAAAATTTCACTATTATTAATATACATTACATATAATTATTAGTAACCTACCTCTTGAACAGCATTTAAAGGCAACAAAGGCCCGTTGTTGTCCCTTTCTTGCTCAAAGTAGTGCATTAACGAGGCCACGAGTTCCTTACACCGACTATTTAACTGTTTGGGCATCTTTATATACCAAAATTGCCTTTATCTACTCGTAAAATGAATAATTTTGTTTTGAAACAAACAGTTGTTGATTTACAGTATGCGGGGCCAAAGGATTTATAAAGATTTGAAATGCCACAAATTGATTCAGTGTCAAAATTAATACAAATGTCAGTTCCCAGTTTAAATAAGTTTCAAGGTGACAATGTGTCAACGCTGCGAAATCGGTTTAGTGCGTTTACATGTCGATAAGTGATTGGAGCGTTTGCAAAACATTTTATTTCGCATAATGCGTCTAAATTTATCAGAAAGCAACTTATGTGATATTTTAATAACAATGTTTATATGACTATTAACCATAATAAGAGAGTAATGACCATTTTACAATTTATATATCACATTAATATGAAACTGCAATAGAGCAATTGTTTGTGATAGAAACCTAGGCATTAGGTCGGGGAATTTTTATCGTGATGACGTGCATATACGTAGATTTTCAGGGAGCAAAAAAGTGTACGTTTGCAATGCTTGAAGCTAAGGGATTAAAAGGATTGAAATATTAATTGATGATAGAAAATTTTTACTAGAAGTCCGATTTGCCACCTAATTTTTAAGTCAGAGATAGGTAAAGTTTTTGAAGCAATCCTTTAATAATATGTTTCATCTTTAATAGAAGTGATACTTAAAATTATAAATGTCACACGCATTTAAAACATACTTACAGCTGCTTTTCATATATTTTTTCGAAATCAATTACAAAACGGGGGGTCGATTTTGGGCATTTTTCTTTGATATAAGTTGGAAGCTCTATGAAACTCCACGTTATTATATTATTGTTCAAAGCCCATTATGTTGACAGTTTTTTCAATTATCAGAATAAATTATTTTGTTTTATAGATAAAATCAAGTACTGCGACGTACAGGGTCTGCAATGCTTAACAGATTACTTTGGTAAGAATTTTGTATAGGCAATAAAATCTGGCGCATCTATACAGCAATACTTTTTCAGAGGTAGTGAATCGATTAAGTGCAAAAGGCTTTGAGAAGCAAGGACTGGTTTGCGATTGTGTGCCATCTTGCTTTGAACCGGAGTACAATGTTGTTTCTTTGACAAAAGAGTTAGTATCTATGTATATGTTAAAACGAGTCACTTACAATATTAAGTATCAATAGAGTACAAGGAGAATGTTCTGAGTACTCAATAAAATATTTATGTTTCCAATGCTTATATCATGTCCAAATACTCGTATTTAAAAAATAAAAAGTCCATAATTGAACTCTAGTCAAAAGGTATAAGTATGTTCGCTGCCCTTCCAAAAGATGAAAAGCAGTGAGAGATGCAGTTGTCATTGATCATGGCTAAAAGAAGTCAAATTTCAATAAAATTATGTGGATTTCTTTCATGAAGCAATTGTAGCCCTAGTAAAAGTTATAAAATTTTGACAAAATTACATTAGTACCTATTTCAGGTCGTCAGCAATGCCCAGTAAAATCAGTGTTGGTATCCAATCACTACCGACAGCAAGGTTTAGAAGAATTGTCTTGAAATCCAAACTAGATTTAGTAGGTAAGATTTGTTTCATAAATTGTATAACCTGAATATGATTTTACATTTTTCGATATTATTTCAGTATCTATTGGAGGAACTGCAGGCCTTTTTATAGGCGCATCTCTATTAAGCATTGTTGAGTTGGTGTACTTACTATTTTTTGGTAATAAACAATGAAAGCATATGCCAGTCTAGCTTGCGTATCAAGATCATCAGTAGATACCTTTTGAGGTTTACCGAAATCTCATGTAACTGTAGATACAACATGATGTTCGAAATGCTAATTTCGCAAGGATAAAAGATGTAGCTTACCGAAAAATCATACAACATTGTTAAATCCTCAGTCACTTCTAAGCTGCTCGAACTAAAATAGCACTATACTGGAAAATGGTGAACAACATAATTTTGAAATAAAATATATCTCCACTGGATTCCCATTTGTGAGCACAGTCTGCGAAAGTAAGAATTTCGCTGCCCTTTCAGTGATGATTTGCTTCAATAGTCTTCACAATTATTTATAGATTATTTCAAGTAATCGTAAGGTTACTCAATCAAAACTATTCAACTAGAGTAATCCCAGACTTAACAGGTGAGTAATAATCTCAGCTTTGAGAATAAGTCAATGTCACAATTAGTACTGTATAATGTGACTTGTAGCTTTAGACGTTTACATTCTTATAACAATAGCTCAATAACTGTACAAGAGCGGCTACACAATACCGAAAATCTGAAAGACTCAATACTTTGGCTTCAACAAAAAATAAATGGGAAAACATAAGGATAATAATAAAGGTTTCAGCGTTGCAGTAGCAGTGGAGAGAAAGAGACTTCTCTTTGTTAACGAAATTACTTAATTCTCCTTTTATTCAGGTATGAAAAGCAATTGTTCCACTTGAAACACGTCGTCAAACCCCTGGTAACCTCTCCGATATTCCCCTTGCGCAATGTTGCCACTACACTTTGCTAAGCCCGTTTCTTGTTTTACTGCCCACTAGAAGAAGCATAATTTATAACTGAATATTTAATTTTATGAAAAACTGGTCAACAATACAAAATTCTCCGGAGTGGTTTTATAAGTTTTGATTAAATTAGGCGTGTTGGTTGCTCTAGCTTTAAACTTGCACTCGGGCTAAGGATTATTACCGACGCATCAATTTTTACACTTTACTTTAAACAGTTACTGTGGTTAAAGGATATATGTGTTTCTTGAGATTTTCTAGCTTTAGATACCGATGGTGGTATCAGCAAAGATTTTGATCTTCCATTCTGTGAATATCTTGTAGAAACCTTTCACTTTACTCTTCCCTATAATCTTCAAGATTTTGAGGACTAAGAATCCTTGAAAAAAATTGGATCACTAAGACGAAAGATTTCCTCCTTCGTTTTCAAATCGTCATGTCAAAACATTTTGATGATGTCGATGGTATTTGCAGTGATCAGAGTGTGTAGAGGCCGCTGAGCAGAAGACCACGTCGGATACGTCAATTTGTCTCGGTTTGTACAAACAAATTTGGACTAAGTAAGTATACAAGTTGTTTGTACACATATAGTCAGCATGAAGGTTCATACTACAAAACGATCAGGTTTGCCGCCAGTTTGACAGTTTTACTGCGAAAACATGTAAAATTGCGTGGGTGCCTTCCAGACTGTCTAAAATGCTGAACGCTTCTGCCTACATAGTTGTGAGGTAATTTTGATTTATCCCAGTCCACTTCTTGTTTCTTTGATTGTGCAATCCGGATCTAAGGTTTCTTAACAGGATTGTATACATAACAATAACATTAAAAAATGAAAAGTATTGGAGACGGGCCATTTTTTTATGGGTATTGAAAAGGTTCAATCCAAACATCAACTTTGAGGATTATCTACTTTAATTTTGAAACTAAAAGGTCCTTACTTTCACGATATAAACAGTAATATTGGGTTCTCATTCTATTGCTACGAAATTCTTAATGTGCTATATCGTTAAAAAATATTTACTGCCGTTTTTTTCATATTTATTAATAATAACTGAGCGATTGATATTGCAACACAGATATTATTTCTGCCCTGCTAAACATGAGTACACCCAGTACGATTGCCTACTTGAATACCTCTCTAGAGAAAGCATATGTACGCCGATGTATTTATTGGCTTGTCACTTTTACAGGCAATGGTAGGCCAATGAGCCAAAAATGTGCACTAATACTATTGAATTTTGGCGACAAATAATGCAATCTTAATATATAGGCTTGGCTCCTTCTCACTTATTTGAGTTCGTTGGTTTATACCGGTAGCACAGACATACTCGTATGTACTAATTCATCCTGATAAGGTCTTCGCCAACTCATGGTTGTCTTGAATTTAATGGCGGATCGTTTTCCACTAGTTTGTTGTCGTAAAAAGACAACACAATTTTGGCGAATAATATTTTGCTCTCATGGGTTATATAGATTGAAATTATTCACTCCAAAGTAATTAAAGTAGGCAGATTCAATGAAGTCTGTGATCCATTAACGATACATTTCAAAGGTATAAGTATTTGCTATAAATAAAACAAACGCCCTCTGAGCTGTTTGAACGAAGTCTTCCCTTTGTAGCCGCTGTTGAATATACGAGTACTATATAACTACTGTTTTAGCGCATCCAAGAGTTATTTGAGACGAAATGAAATACCATATATCCTCAATAATTAGAAATCTACTTTGAAAAGATTAGTTACTTTTAAATATACGGAGTTACGAATATGGTGAAAGTATCACCTAAATAGCTGCTAGTATCGGCTTCTTCTATTAAACCAGATTACATATTTAGTGTGAGCAAAATACAAGAAATAACATGATGTTCAGGAGTATCCATGAGGTCTTACGATAAGTTAGTACAACTTAATAAAAATGCAGAGGCATTTCGCTTTTATTCAGGGATCGCAAGATACCGAATAATGACTTTATAATTTTTTAAACAACGCCAAAGTGATGGCATTCCATTTTTGGGTGAATTTTGAATAAGGAACTCTGAGAAGAAATACGAATTTTGTTGTGGCTTATGTCGATTAGATACAGATTTTGATCGCACTCAAAAAAATATAACTGTTTTAAGGGCGAGCTCTACATAGGCTCGGTCCCAGCGCAGGGAAGATTTGTGTTATGAGGAAAACTAACATCACATTCTTATACATACCCGCGTTATATCATAAACGGATTTTGGCCGATATTGCAGATATGGAAGAACTTTCGCGGCCTAAATTCACCCTTTAAGTAAGTTTTTTTTGATATTGCAGATACATGCAGATAATTAAGTATGACATTTATTTCAATGGTATGCTTCTGAATTTGGAGTTTCTCAATGTAAATTTTCCACTTTCGACATCTATTGTTACGAGTCAAGGAATTCGTGGGCAAGAGAGCACATCGGGGGTAGAGGGGAAGCATGGGCCTCCCCTTGAAACAGGCCCCAAAACATGGATCCAGAGACGGGAGATCAGGGGAAATTTTGTTATGTGGAATATGCGCGAAATTCTGTTATAATGATCCTTTCTATTATTATTTTTTTTTTCGTTAACCTACCTTACGTAACTCCTCCTTTATGGAGGTTGATATTCCACATTACAGCTCCAAAGAAAGTATTACTGACAGAAGCTGTCATAAAAGTGAGACAAGTGCAATGTTTTCAGAGATTTTTTCATTTTAATAATAATAACAACAATAATGAGCTTTACTACCCAACAGCTAACCTTTACAGTGTAACTAATAGAAAACATAAATTAAGACATGCCTATCTAGAAACAGAAAACTAAAGATGTATGACAGCTTGCACCACTATCTCCTTCAGTGTGCACATAAAAATATCACAGCTATAATTGTTACAATTTTAGAAAGTTTTTGAGCTAATTTTGGATTCTGACGTCTCTCTATATTAAATTGCCTTAGCAAGTCTGGTTAAAATGTGTGAAAAGCAATTACTTATATCAACATGAGCAAAGGAAACGAAACTATTGTTATGTCATCTGTAAAGGTGTGAAGCGACAGTAAGAAGAGCCGTCGCACTGTCGTGCGAGACATCTATTGGCGGTAGCGTGAACAACTGGTAGCGCCATCTATGGGCGACTACTACGGAGTCTAGAACCTTGAGAACAGCCGACTACTACACTATCGCAAAATGCAGACCAATGAAGAAAGTCAGTCAGTTTTGAAGGAGCATTCGTCGCGAGCCCGAATGGTGACTATATACATTTTTGTTATAAATAAGCGTACGCGTCTTCTTATAAATAGATGCTGTCAAGTATAAATTAACTAAGTTGTTTAGTGAATACGGTATTTTTATTACAGTATGCTTGAAAATTGGTAAAACGGCGCCAAGGACCCAAGGAGGTGCGATAAGTTTTAGACGAGGAAACCAGGAGGATAGGACAATTTGTATGCTTTCTACTTAGGCGTTTTAACCTCCAACTTATGCATTCAACCATTAACTTTTCATCATTGCCGAGACTGTTTCCAAAATGTGCGGAGCGAAATCCTTACCAAAAAAGTAAAATCGGCACCAGCGTAACGCACCCTTAAGCCCCTGCGAACGAAAGCTGTGTACCTTCCAGGAAGGTGGGTGGTTCGGGGTGAACTGCAAGCGGGACTTCGGGGTGCAGCAGCCCCCCTGTCGGCCATTTACCGATGCCGCGTTGTCATGGCGACCTTTCCAAAGGGCGTGGCTTCATCTCAAAGCATCGAATTTCACCCTCTGGCAGGGTGCGGGGACAGCAAGTTTCGGTCTCTCGGTCCTATAAATCCAATAATCTCCACAGCTTAGATTGTGATGGAATGATTTACTGACAAATCAGACCTGACGAATAACATTATTAGTACAGGGTGCAGATAGAAATGACGGAGTGGAAACAATGTTTTTCCAGGTATGAACGCTATGATTAGTCACAATGTCCGTTTTGCTACTGTCATCGCTCATGACTGCAGAGATAGTTTACACTCAAGAACTCACATGTTGTTATGAAGACGGTCACAAATATAGATTTAAAATTATGTAGACAAATGGAGCTATCAAATTCGTGAATAACCAAAGAGTTGAAAGAGTAATTGGTCCAAGTTAATTTTGTCTTGTCTAAAGGTATCACTTCCAACATCTAAACTTGGCCATGTGACTACGATTTTCCAAGTGGGCTCTCAGCTTTGCTCTAACATCTTTCAATGAAA